ACATTTTTCTATTCATTACGCTGCATGTTCTCTCAACTGTTTTATATTTTAATAAAAATGACATGAGTGATTCATTTGGTTGGAGAATAAAACCATAAGAACAAAATGTTGGGGACTCATAACTCATCATCAGTGCTGAATCTTTAAAAGTTGTAACGAGTTGAAATAAGTCTGGGACCATGTGCTTTCAAGGTAGAAGGTTTCATTGACTTGCTCATTGCTATGACTTAATATTTCAGGGCAGAATCATACATACCACATTATAATACCCGAAATGCAAAATCAAAGTGCAGACATTCAAGGTGAAAAATGTTTTAATAAAGTGGGCTCCACTGAGAACCTATTGAAACCATACCTTTAGAATGCTTTAGAAACTGATATTAAATAGTAACTATATTGTCTCAAAAACAGTACTAGGAATTTTGAGACACTGTATATAAAACATAGTTTGGAGTTATATTTATAAGAAGTAAGAAAAAAGGACAGTTTCAAAATATGTGTCAAAGATATTTCAGTAGGGAAAATGAGTAATTAAAAAATAGCTGTTCTCTCCTCTTCTCATAGTCAAAAAATTTCATTTAAATTGTTTCATTTAAATAAATAATAATTAAATATAATTCCATATTAGCAGGTAATAAACTATGCAGAACTCACTAGTCATATGCATCTTATTTCTGTAACTCTAGCTCTGTGTAGTCTAAACCAAGGTTTAAACTCTTGTAATCTCGCCATTTTAATGAAAGTAATTCCTATAGAATAAAATGGATTGTGGAAATACTGGAGGTGGAATGGCTTTAGGATATTACCTGTGGCCTGATTTCAAAAGAGCAGCATTTTAGTCATACCCAAATCAGGCAAATCATCATATTTTTTAAAGTGGTGGTGCTATGTTAGAAACAAAACAAACAAACAAACAAACAAAAAACAACAAAGAGTGCTTCAGATTGTGTAGTAATCAATTAAATAGAGCTTCAGCTTCCAGAGAGCACTATATTTAGGCCCTATAAATGTGGTCTGAGAGAAGATTCTGATTTTGAAGAACAGTGTCCCAGTTCCTGAAGAGTTTTTAGTTTCACCTTCCTTTGGGCTTTATTGCTAATGAGATTCTTTGAAGAATAATTTAATAGTATAATTGAGTACCCTCAATTATTTCTAGCATCAGCACTTACTATACAATTTCAAGCAACACTATCAAAAATGAACATACATATCTGGGCAACATTTAGGTCATCAGCATTATCTGGATGCAAGTTTCAGGGGAATGCTCTTTTCACACAAATTCAATTCAATTAAGATGTGAATTCAAATCCCCAGAGTGGATAAGTATTATACAAGTCTTTAGCTATCATGTTCACGGGGGTGTAGGAAAATGCTAGAACTGGGGACAGTTAGGTGGCACAGTGGATAGAGCACCGGCTCTCGAGTCAGGAGAACCTGAGTTCAAATCTGGCCTTGGACACATTATATTCACTAGCTGTGTGACTCTGGGCCAGTCACTTAACCCCAATTGCCTCACCAAAAAAAAAAATGCCAGAACTGAACAGTCAAGGTGAGCTGTGCTTCCCATTCTGCTTCTTGGAGCCATCTTCTACCTCCCCATGAGAGACAAGGAGAAAGAAGCATGTTTATATTTATGTTTAGAATGTATGTGGCTCATATTCCTTTGGAAAAAAAAAGAGTAAATCAAATTTCTTGAAATAAAGTCCACATCAGGTATTTCTATAAACCCACATTCTATTTGGGCATATTCCAACAGTCTAAGGAGAGATTCCAAAAACAAGAGCTTATCAACATGTATTTCCCAAATGAAATGGTTTCAATCATTGAAAAAATAAACAAAAATAAAACCTCTCTTAGGAACAAATGTTTTTACAGGATGACAGAGACCATTATGAAATCCCTTATTTATTTGACAATAACCATTTTTAGTGTCAACCTTATAAGACTATCTTAAAAATAAAACACAACCAACATAATTACCTGGGCTAAAGGAGAGGAGAAGAGTTATGGATAATAAAAACAGCTGATAATCCAAATAATCCAAATAATTTGGTCTTGGAACACAAAGAGACATATTGAACACTCAGATATAAAGCCAAACAAACACACAAGCACGCATACTAGAAACTCACATACTCCCCTCGATGTTTAGTCCTGTTTCCGTTCCATTCCCTGGGTTCAACTGTTGGCTCTCCAAAATTTGGATAGCAAGGGATAAGAAGTGCCAGTTACCATATTTAGTCTAGACTGGTAGTCTCACTAAGGATAGTTAAAGCTGATCACATGAAGTTGGATTGCTCCAAGTCTTTTCCAAAATGTCTGATTAGGAGAAACCAGTAGTGATGAAAGTGTTTCTATTATGTAACTTTTTTAAGAAATGTTCATATATACCAGAAGCCATTCATCATTATTTTTTGATCTACACCTGTGATTTCATCAGCATAGGGAGCTCCCTTCATCACTGCAGGTCAGCAACTTATCTGCACCTTTTAGAATTACCTATATAGACTGCATTGCTGAAGTATCTGCCACTTTTTTTTTTTAAAGCTCCAAGATTATATAAGTATTCTATCATTTAATTTTGAAAAATCATCCATTAAATCCCAACATCAACACAAATATTACTAAAGAATCATTTCCCACATACCTGGTAGGTTTTTTTTTCCTGAGAAGGGTATAGCATATTTAGAAAGAAATCATACAGATTAAGGTGAAAAATGTTTTGTCAAGTATATCACTAATTCATTTAAAGTGTAGTAAAAATGAAAATGGCATGAATGTGAAGGTTAACATCTATCTTATCAAGAGATGGCATCTACATTAGATTCTCTAAGGTAGAACACAAGCAAGTACAACAAACTAGTTGGGCATCTGGGCATTCATTATTAGGTCCCTCTGATCCTGCTACATAGTAGTGGTTTCCCAATAAATACAGAATTTTATACCACAGACCACACTTCTTAGAGCTGTTCTGCTCTCCCTCTCTCTTACCCCCTCACTCCCCTAGCTCCAAATGGAAAAATGCACATGTTTTGAGAGTCTGCATCATTTAGAATTTATGTAGGTTTTCTCTGAGGGTGGCAGCATTGTGTTCTGATGAAGGCTTGCAATGCACTACAAAAGATGGAGGACGATGGTCCTGAAATCTGAATGGCCCAAATTTAAATCCACTGAGATCTTTAGAAGCAGGCAGTTTAACTCCTGTTAATTTCCATCTGTTTTACAGTTAAAAATTAAACCTCAATCCACCACAATGCAACAGCCCTGAGCTTTTTAAGGCAAGCTGGGATTTAAGACCTAAATACTCTACCTCAAGGCCTGGTCTAGGCTAATGGACATTTCTCTAATCTGGTTGCTGATAAAAAAGGCTCTTTGAATCCCTGTAGGGACAGTTCTCCAATCATGTGAACCAAGTAACTTTTTGGCAGCAGAGGAAGCCCTTGAAAGAAACTAATATTTGAGAAATAAATATAGTATAAAACTTGTCAGAGAGACAAGTAAAAGGTCATGATTACTTCTAAGACCTCCAGTCCTAATGTTTCAGGCATTAGAGCACTTTGCTTTTCTTCAGTTCTGTAAATGAAATTTATGTGCTCTCAGAATTCAGGTTTACAACTGTAAAACTGTAACTGATGTTACAATAGGAACATAGATATTTAGTAACTTGTTTGCACAGAAAAAGAGAAAAGTCACCATAATTTAGGTGGGAATCAAAATATGATTCTTGTTTTATACTACAAAGTAAATTGTTCTTTATCCAAATAATTTTAGGGAAAGAGGTGGAAAAATGTAAAAATTGAAGGTGTGTGTACACTTTTTTCCACTGCCCTAAAATGTTCATTAGTCTAGATAGAATGACTACACAAAACCTTGCTCTTTCCCACCAATAGAATGTAAGCTCTTTGAGGGCAGGTACTATTTTGCTTTGAATCCCCGGTGCCTGGCACATAATAGAAGCTTCATAAAGTCTTGTTGAATTGAATTGAGCGTTATTCATTACAGAGAAGAATTCTGTCCAAAGCAGATCCATTTCATGTCCCCTCACAGGGGGGTTTGTTACTAAAATACCAAAAGAAGCTCCTTAAGATCTAGTTTCCCATGAATCGGGCTGCCCAAATTACAGTGAGGAAAGCAGCATGTAAAAGCTACCTCCTGTACTGAGCAATGCAGAAAAGTATCTGTGGGTATTTTAGGTAGGGCTGTCTGCAAAAGGAGGCTACTCTGGTACAAATTATGCAATTTTTTCATTACAAAAGGGGAAAAAATCAGCCCAACTATGGTGTTTTCTCATTATAAAGAAGTACTATAAGAATACTATCAAAGATACTCCACTAAGCTTGAGTCTGTATATGATACATATTTTGCAATGAATGCATGTTGCTGTGGTTGGGAGTGTTAGAACAGCTTTTTCTCTGTACCCGAAACACCATAGCTGCATACCTAAGTATTCTTATCTAAGTAAGAGATAAACAAAATATAAATATCAGTACTATATATTTTCAAACTTTTAAAATAAACACAAAGAATATATAGGTAAACAAGTTATAATTGTAAGGTCAACACTAGCACATAAATTTGACTCACCTAAGTACATACCAGGATACTTCCTATTCAATACATGCACCTACAGACACATTGTCATGCATACAAGCTCACTTCCTGCCACTAGCAGGAACATTAGAATATACAAAATTGTACACTGTTTAAACATAAATACAATTGGCAAATAGATGAGGATGACATAAAAAAAAGCGGTACTGCGCTATTAAACAAAGAAAAACAAATACAGGAAGATGGTTCATCCGTCGATTAAAAACACTGAAGACTGATGGAAAGTTAAGATTTTTTTAACTGCTTGTTCTGTATATCAAGAAATGTAATTCTTAATCTTGAAGGATACAGAGCAGGACACAACTGGTTACAAACACACAGAATGCTCTGTTTGGAAAGAAGGTCTAGAGCTTTGGCCATAGGGTCTACCCATCCTGTCTTAGGGAGACTCAGACAACTGCAGTCTCTGAGTGCAGTGAAAAAGAATAGCCATACACTGTCTTCTTCAAGGCGCGTGGTGCAGATGGGGATCTGAGTGCCCATCGGGAAGGAGGGCGTCGATTTGTTGGCCGCGCAGGCCGAGAAAACCCTTTCCCATCGATTGATTTCATTGCCACAGACTCCTAGAATACAAATACAGTCATTTACTTGGGGAAGTGTCCAACAAAACTGCAAAGTAACATTTCAGCTGGTGAACTTAGACACATTTTTCTCAATACTGAAAAGACTCAGAGAGATATTTGTGTGGCATCAATCTGCACTCTAGAGACTTTCTTGGTGGCCATTTTCATATCATCTCTATCGTGAAATATTGTACTTGGGGAGTTGACAAAACCTTCACATTGTCAACATTTTGGCTAGAAAAATTTCTTCTTCTTCTTCTCATTTTTGAACCCAATTTCAGGGTGGTTATTTTAAGTAACTCTCCTTTGGGGTGATTGGGAAACCCAAACCTCCCTCAGTGGAATCTTAATTTTTTAATCTGGAAAGCTGCAAATTTTGAAATCTAGAAAGGGTTGGGTTCCATTTGTGATGGTGTTAGGGTTAGTTTTACTAGAAGATAAAATGAAACTGAAAAAATAAAAAGATGGGGATCCTAGTCATAGGCAAAGATAGGGCAATTTCTCTGGTTCTGGGAACTCCGGGGTTAATAAATTCCCTCTACCAGTGCAGGTCAACACCTATAACTATTAAGATCTTAGATGGTTGCCTAGAGCATTAGCAATAGGAAGTAAAAACTTTCTGTTTGACTTTCTTTGAAGTCCTGAATGTTTTGGTAACACAAGGAGTCTCCAGTCCTAATATGCCCATTAGCACAGTGCCTGGAACTTGTTAAGTTATTGTTAAGTTATGAAGCCCCTATCTGGGGCTTTTTCGGCAAAGATACTTGAGTGGTTTGCCATTTCCTTCTCCAGCTTATTTTACAGATGAAGAAACTGAGGAAAAGAACAGGGTTGAACGACTTCCTCAGGGTCACATAGCTAATAAATGTCTGATGGTAGATTTGAACTCAGAAAGATGAGTCTTCCAGACTCCAGGCCCAGGCCTCTATCCACTGCACCACCTAGCTTCCCTGGAACTTATCAATGCCTTAATATATGCTTGTTGACTGACTATTTGCATCTCTTTTCTGCATTCAGATTCTCTACAACCTCTTCCCTCTTCACCCCCAATTTAAGACTCCATTTCTCATGCATAGGGCAGTTACAGTTACCCAGGAGAGTGATTTTCCTTGTGGGTTACATAACCACTTCTTTCCATGAACAAAAACAAAAACAAAAATAAGTCAGAGGATAAAGAAGGAACTTTTATCTGCCATCATCTGCAATTTTCTAATAAACTGGCTCATTGTGAGGCAGTTAGAAATGGGAATTGTAAATGCGGAGAGTTTTTCAGACCCCACTCCCTTCTCCTTAAAAAATGTTGCATGTCTTCCTTCAAGTCAAAATAAAATAATGGAAAACATTAAAGGGGTTCTTAATTAGTATCTTAATTAATCACCCCTCTGGCAGTCTGTTGAAACCTATGCACCCCTTCTGAGGATGACTTTTTGAATGTATCAAATAAAATAAAAAGAATTACAAAGGAATTCAATCTATTAAATGCAATTATAATTTTTTTTCTTAAGTTTACAGACTCCAGGTAAGGTTCTCCTTTGTGCTCTTTGAGAAAATTCAAGTTTCTAATAGAACAGGTGAAAACTCCTGTTCATACTGGGATTTGCAAAGGAGAAAAAAAGAATTTGGGCTGAGAAAATTGGATTAAATCATGCCCAAGATCCCTTTCAGCTCAAAACATTTTGGTGATTTAGTGATGAATTTTTCACTCTAACGAAAGGTAGCTTCTCTGACTGAAAACTGTATCACATCATCCTTGCTTTGGTAGATTTTGTATAACGTCACAGGAAATATTTTTAGGATCCCGGTGAACAAATGCAAGCAACAACTTTTCCTAGGTAACCTCAGAAATCATAAGCAAAAGAATTCTGGATAGTTCTTTGCTTCAACATCCCTACTTCTGGTATCCCTGTGGTACTACAAAGTAACATCTGTGATGATGGGTTTTTAAAACATATTAAGCAAAAAAGAAAAAAAAACCCTAATTCTTCTTAAAAAATAGTCAGGGACTATCATTCTTGTTGTTGCCCAAAATTGTTTGCAATTCACTGACATATTATCAGATAAATTTCTATCTTTATTTTTATTTTCATATATAAGATGCTTATTGATAACAAAGAATAAATCTGTTCAGAGATATGTACCTTGATGAGATCCTTAACCTAAACAGATGTGTATTTTATTAATCTTATGAAAAAAAAATAAATGAAGCTGATTCTGGGGAGAAATGAATCTAATTATATTACAAATTATTTTAAAAAATCTTTTCAGTAAGAGTTTTCCCCTCTTCACCTCATGCCTACATTATTGCAATATCCTACTGGTTGGTGTTTCTCCCTCAAGTCTCTCTCCACTCAAGTCAATCCTCCACTCGGCTGTAAAATTGCTCTTCCTAAAGTACAAATCTGAGCATATCATTTCCACCCCCACCTCTATTCAATAAATTCCAGTGGTTCCCTGTTACCTCTAGAATCAAATATAAATTTCACTGGTCTTAAAGCCCTTCATAACGTGATCTCTTCCTAGCCTTCCAGTCTTCTTACTCTCTTTCATGTACTCTACAATTCAGTGACACTGGCCTCTTGCTGTTCCCTACTCACAACACTTTATCTCCCAACTCACTGCATTTCTACTGACTGTCCCTCATGCCTGAAATGCTCCGACTCCTCATCTCCACCACCAGCTTCCCTGGCTTCCTTCAAGTCTCAGCTAAAGTCCCACCTTTTGCATGAAGCCTTTTCCAGGGGGCAGATGTAAGCCCAGGTATTCTGAACTTCAAGGCCAGCTCTCAGTATACCCTATGCCTATTTTATGATATTTAAATGATCTTAAAATTCATTTACCTGGGGCAGGTAGGTGGTGCAGTAGATAGAGCTCCTGCCTTGGAATCATGAGGACCTGAGTTCGAATCTGGCTACATACACTTGACACTTACTAGCTATGTGACCCTGGGCAAGTCACTTAACCCTGTTTGCCTCACCAAAAAGCAAAAAAAAAAAAAAATTCATTCACCCTCATAAATGCTGATTTTATTGGCCCAGGTAAAATAAAATTCAACCTTCATTCAAGTACTACCCTAAAACCTCACCAGGTCCTGGAGCTAACTCTGGGCTCTTGATGGTTATGCCAGTTGATTACAATTCCAGGCAATGGCTACCAAACTGAAAAGGTTGGCAAGATGGGCTGGTGATGAATTATATGTTTTCTGAGGACCATCATAGCCAAGTTTGGAGAGGCTTAGCACAAGGTTGGCTGCAAGTTGCTGAATTTTTGCTTATTTATTTATTTATTAATTTCAATACACAAAAACAGTCTACAAAGGAATAGAGGGGTATGTGATCTGTGTTAGTGAGGAAAGAGAGGAACAGATTTGTGAAATCATAGATCCTTGAGGTACCAAAGTAAATAATAAAGTTGAAACTTTTAAAGTTCAAAGTTTGTTACAAGGCTAAGTTCCCAAAGGTACAATTAAGTTTAGCAAGTGGCACAATGCTAGTCACTTAGGCTAAAGGATACTTGACTAATTTAACACTTACCTGTTGCTAAATTCTGATGTGGCTCTACACAAAAGTGCAGTGTCTCCTCTTACCTCTGTTAGTTCTTTCCTCTCTACTTCTTGCTTGCTTTGCTGTTCCATAGACATGGCTGACTTCATCTGAAGCTCTTGCTTTTCTTGTTCTGGTTGAAACATTTCTAAACACTGATTAATGGGGTCCTTGTCACTCTTGATGACATTACAATCCAATTTGGTCCGTTGATCTTGGCAGGATTTTGAGTTTTTTGACAAAGACCCTGTTGATATCTCATAGTTTTTCAGCAGCTTTTCCACTACTCCATAGTTTGACTTGGGATCAGCTGATCGTGGACGACCTAACAAATTACTGGGTCTCCAGTCATGCTCATGAAGCATGTGGTGATAGTTGCTAGCATTGGAATGCTCCTGAGCTTGCTTCACCTGCCCTCCCGTGACTTTTTTGGGAAAACTGTTTGACTTTCTCTCTTTGGGCACTGAGAGGCTGTTGTTCTGAATGCAACACAGATTGTCATTTTCTTTTGCATGAACTGCACATTTACCTACTGGAGCACAGGGCTTAGAGTCTTTGGATGAGTTTAAGAGCCTTTGCATGTGCTGTGCTGAACTGCAACATCTGTCTGTTCGAAATACAGTTCTATTAAATTCATCTGTCTTTGCTGCCAATTTTTCATTCTTTGAAATCTTTTCAAAGTTGCAACCAACTCCTGCAAATGAGTCACTGTTAGGATCTAAAGAAGAATTCAGGGCATCACTTTCATGAGAAGCAGAACCAGATTTAGTCTGGCGGGTTTGGATCAACTTCTCATTTGGAAGCTTCGCAGAGTTAGGGCGAGCTTTTGGGAACCACAGTGTTGAGGGCACGCTCTTTGTACCTGTTCTAAGCTCGTTTACATCCTGTGACCGTCTATTAGTCTCCAAGTCCTTGTTACATTGAGCTTCACTATTTATTTTGGCTATTTGCTTTGAAGTGGCAAAAGTAACTCGATCTTTCCAAGTGTTCTGTTTACTTGGGCAGGACACGGTTGCTTCAGGCTGCTTTGTAGGGAAGTTATTACCACAACTCCTTTTACCTCTGCAGTCTTGTGTCTCCCATCTGCTGTCTAAATTTTCCTTTATGCTGTTGAAGACGGTGTGCTCTTCAGAATATGAGCTTGGAAAGTTTCGAGAAGTGCTTCTTGGAGGAGGGATTGGTGGAGCTTCATTTCTTTGCAAAGAAAGTGGATCTGGTGCACTGTTCTCAACAGGAATGTCATGGGGCATATCATCAAAATGGCTTAGCTTCTTTTTATTTATCTGTTTTTCTGTATCTAGACTGATTAAAGCAGTTGGGGAGTCATTGCTGATTATGTGATTCATGTCAGGATCAACGGTGCTAATTGTTTCCTGGGGAAAAGGAGTTGACTTCGTCCTGGATAGAAATTAAACAGAACAATTTCATGATAGCATTATTTAGGAGAGGCCCACTGGAGAAACAGGGGATTGGGTCTCAGGTGACTCGGTAAAGAGGAGCCACACATGTTGCTGAAGCATTGCTTTGTGATATCATTTTCCTGCTCATGAACCTCCAATGACTTTGAATCCCTTGAAGCCCAAACTCCTTGCCTAGTATGACAGTCAACACCCTACCAATCTGGACCTTTTTAATCTAATGTCTCTTTTCTTCCCTACACAAACCCTCTGTTACAGTCAGATCTAACTATTTACTGTTGAGCACAGGTCTTGCTTAATCTTAGCTCCATGATGCTGCTCATGCACCCATTTCCTTTGAAGACCTCCGACCTCTTTCCTACTACTCTTATCCTTTCCCATCCTTCAAGAAACAGAATGAGCTCTACCACTTCTCTGATGCCTTCTTGAATGCCTCAGCCCATGATGACCACTTCTGAATTCTCATTTTATACCATTCATTTAGACTTAGACTGTTATCTTTCTGTATGTTTCTTGTCTCTCAAACTGGACAATGAACTCTGTGAGTGCAAGAGCTACATCTTCTTCTTCTTCATAGTATTCATATTCTAGTGCCTACTGCACAGGAGATATTTGGTAGATCTGTTCATTAATTTATGGATGAAATTATCACTGAAGCTTAGTCTACATTTCATTGAAGAAATTTCATTAGAAAAGGGATTAAAATGCATGTAAGCATGATTATTGCCTTAATATGGGAAAGTCACTGACCTGCAGGAAACAGAGCAAAATATTAGCTTCAAAGCACTTATTCTGCCCTATTATTTATTCCTATGGTAACATGGAGAATATTCCATAGAAAGTATTCCTGATTTACTGTCAATGAATTATTCCTGATCAGATTCCCAAACTGCCTTATCTTTTATGTCAGGAGTTTTAATCTTTTTTGGTGTCATAGATCCCTTTGGTAGTCTAGTAAAGTATATGGATCCCTTCTAAGAACAGTGTTTTTAAATACATAAGATAAAATACAGAGGATTACAAAGAAAATATTACATTGAATTGTGGCTATCAAAATATTTTTAAAAAATAAGTTCAAATTCATCCCGTGAAATTTATCCATGGACCAAGTTAAAAAAAAAACAACTCTTTGATATTTTCTCCAGTTTTACATTCTCTTATTAGATACCTATAAGAAATAAGGAAAAATGGATGAAGCTTCTAGCAGGTTTGAGGAATATTTACTTCATAAAGATCCCGGTATCTATTTCTGGGGCAACTAGGTGTTTAAGCAGATAGAGCATTGGCTTGGAAATCAGGAGGACCTGATACAGCCTCAGACACTTATTTGTGTGATCCTGGGCAAGTAACTTAATCCCAATTGCCTCAAAAAAATCTATTTCTGTATTTCCTACCTCCAATATTTTTAAAAAAGAAAAACCAAGAACAACAATAGTTGTATCAAAGTAATAACCCTAATTGCTTTAGAAAAATCTACTTCTATATTCTATACCGCCAATATTTTTTTTTAGAAAAACCAAGAATAACAACAGTTACATAAAGGTAGCAGATTTTAATTCTGTTAGCGATATAGGAAATGAAGCCTGAAAGTCAGTAAGATGAAAGTATCAGACCTCAAACAGGGAATTAGAAATATGGGAATGTTTCGATAGGTCTTCAAACAGAGACACTGTAGTGACCCGAAATAATAATTTGTTCAGTTTAAAGCTCTGTGGATGGAGCAAACCATTTCACATCTTTGCACAACTCAATTCCCTTTTCTCATTGACTCTAGATGTTTCTCCCCCAGTAGGTACAAATATCTCAATCGATCCCATTGATTTCACTTCTTCTATATTTCTAGAAAATCAGGCTAACTTATTGCTGTCTTTGAAGTTCGATTTTCTCTCATCAAACCTTTCATTTGATGAAGGAAACTATGGGAAGCACTTGATATCAAGTCACAGCAGCAGTGGATAGAGGTGATTGGCTTCAAAAGCTATGTGGGAGCCTTACTTAAATAGGGTGGCAAAGAAAATTCTGTCCAAGTAGATACAATAGGGAAAGTGATATGTCTGCCCTAAGTTATTTATAAAAACAACCCCCACACATTAACTCTGTAAGAATTAAAAAATTAATCTTGTGTGTTGAAACTATTTGCACCGTTTCTGCACAATTCCACTGAATGTGTCTTACATGACTAAAATTTCACTTGTTTTGCAATGTCGATACATACAATGTCTACTTTTATTGTATGTCTTTAATCGATGTCTTTTAGACATGAGGTATCATATCAGAAGAACATTATGATTTGGTTCAAATATAACACTAACAATTTGTTAGGTTAGAAAATTAATTTAATCAGACAACTTAAGATAACTTACAAGTTCCCCAATAAATAATAGGTATTTGGAGATGTATTCCTTTTTTTTTTTTTGGCTAGGCAATGGGGTTAAGTGACTTGCCCAGGGTCACACAGCTAATAAGTGTTATGTATCTGAGGCCAGATTTGAACTCAGGTCCTCCTGAATTGAGGGCCGGTGCTCTATCCACTGCACCACCTAGCTGCCCCAATAATAGGCATTTGGGGTGGCAGTTTAATATAGTAGAAAAAGCATTATATTTGGGATCAGAAGATGTGGGTTCAAATTCTTCTTCTGACCTAGAGCAAGTCATTTACCTCTATGAGCCTTAGCTTCTTTCTCTGTATAAGGAATTGACTAGATAACAGCTTACATCCATCCCAGCTCTGAATCCATGATTTCATTGTCTTATCAGTGTCTTATGGCCAGACTATGTTAAATAAACACTCAAAAAATGAAATTTGTTGGTTTTTTTCTTTAATGGTGAAAATCAATATTAACTACTAGAAAGCAGAAAACCCATAATCAATATTTGTACAATTTTTTCCCTTTGGAGAAGATGCTAACTATTCACATTAAGAAAGTAGTATAGTATGTAATCAAATCAAATTTCTACTGAATTTAAGTTTAATTTGGAGACATATTCAAATTCCAAATAGGATCATTTTACCAAATAGTATTATTCCTCAACATGAAAGAACCATAAAAGTACCAACCTACCTTCTGTGGTTAGATGTCTTTCGGATTTCCTCTTGAAAGTTGCATAATTCTTCACTAACTTTGGCAAGTTCCTCAAGAGCCTTTACACATATAAACAATATCATGTTAGCTCCTTAAAATGTAAATATTTCTTTAGAAACAACATTATGTCCGGTCATGTTTTACTTACTGTAGTGAGGGCATTAGTACAGCTCTTTCTTTCTTCCTCAGAAATCTTCAAGCAAGACCCACTCTCATATTTCTTTTGGTTCTTTGTGGACAGAGGGTCCATGAACACTGCTTTGGATTTCCTCATTGTTATTTGTTCCTTGCTCATTTGATTTTTTTCCTCAAGGAAGCTGCCTCCTTCCACGGTGTCTGGATTTAGACTTACAGGACAAAGTCCGCCACTCAGCATTGCAGTGTCATCTTGTCCTGGATTTGGGGAATGTGGCGAAAATGGCACCATTTTATTTTGGACATTCTTATCCTGTTGAACGGTTTTCAAGCAGCTGTTCTTCTTGCTTTCCCTCCTGAGCTTTACTTCCTGGCAAAGCTAGAAAGACAATAAAATTACATCTCACTTGCAATGTCAGTTTTCAGCCTGGGGCAAGCATTTAGACTCCTTATTATGTTAGTTGCATGTTATTATTAATGAACTACCTGATCCTTTTATGGTATTCTATATCTGAAGACCTCAAAGTCATTTATGAAGAGAAGATTTATTGATCCCTTACAGAACTGTTCTATGGTAGCTAAGCAAAGGTCTAGTCCTGGTTCTGCCACACACTAGACTTGTGACCTTGGGCAAGGATATAACTTCTCTGCATCCCAGTTTCCTCACCTACAAAATGGGAATAAGAATAACCTACCTATCTCACAAAGTGGTGACAATCCAATGATACAAAATGAGTAAAGCAATGTATAAATATGTAATTTTAATAATTTGTATCATTATGTATTATTATCCAGCCTTTGAGAAATTTAAGTTTGACATAAGGAAAGATTTCTAAACAATTAGAGTTATCTGAAAGTGGAATGGGCTTTGAGCAGGAGTGAGCTCTTTCCATTAGTGGGCTTTAATTAAAGAATGGATTATCAGGTAACCCTTTTGGGTATGCCTGGAATAAATGTCCTCTGAAATCCCTTCTAATTCTGAAATTCTTGGATTCTGATTCTGTGATCCAGATGTTTTAATTTTCCTGACTATTCTAGTATAGAAGAGGTGTTGGAGAAATGGTATTTACTGAGTAATACATGCAGTATGGGCAAATGGTAATCATAATGGAATTGCTAATAATAACAATGATGCCTACCTTTAATATAGTGTTATCCTTTTAAATAATTCTTGCCTCAAAAGCATCCTGTGAAGTGGATAGTGTAAGTATTCTTTTTTTCCCCTTATTTTATAAGTGAAGAAGGTGAGGCTCAGAGAAATTTTGAGTCACCAAAGGCCTCACCCCCCACCCCACACACATTAAGCTCTTTTGACTCCAGTTATAGCATTCTTTCAATTTTATCATGCTGCCTCTTGATGTCATGGGGAGGAGCCTCAGGACATCCCTTCAGACTATTCAGGTCTTAAAGGGCCCAATTACCTGAGATTGCACTATAGTTACTACCTTTGCTTGGGCAGTAAATACCAAGGATACGAAGGATGAAGAAGCCAGAAGGAGAATGGAAGGACTCAGTCCCAAATATGTTTTCATCATATTGCTTTACAGTGTAGTGCAGACATTCTTTGCTCAAGTCATGCTAAAAGGGGCAGTAGAAACTACAACCCACTTTAGGTTGCCTAATTATCTGTATCTGACTTCAGGATAACAGCACAACTATGAATGAGTAAATTTATGGTTTTATCTAAACAGAGATTCATTCAAAACAAATGGTAGAATTACAAAACCAGTTTTTATTTTATTTAGTCTGATATATCATTAGGTATCCAGAATCATGAAATGATAAAGGCAAGATCTTAATTCCACACACCCTTGCATGCCATGTTGACTAATGTTTATTTGTCAAATTTATTCCAACCAAGGCATTATGCACTTTTGATCTTTTAAGAACAGCCATAGTAACAAATATTTTCAATATTCATAATGAGCTATGCTTGCAAAATAATGTAAAGTATCCATTCCATTAAAACATCTTTAAATGGACTAGATTCCCTCTTTTATTCTATAGAATGTGTGTTCTCCCAACAATAGAATCAAGGACCTGTTTCCTTGGTCTGTTTCCCAAATTGTCTCTTTGTAGTCAGTGCAACACTATTTTCTGTTTGAACCAAATATTATTTCATAGGCATGGGAAATTCTATTAAAAGATTTAATCCCAGGATTCTTAACTTTGGGTCTGATAACATGTTTTAAAATATTTTTGATAACTGTATTTCAGTATAATTTGTCTTCTTTGTAATCCTATGCATTTTATTTTATGAATTTTTAGAACAATTCTGAGAAGCAGTTTAGAGGCTTCACTAAACAGCCAAAAGGGTCCATGACACAAAAAATAACAAGAACCTCTGGACTAAGGCAGCAGTTCTTAAAGTGTATTTCACTAAGGGAGTCTCCCGGAGACACTTTCAGGAGGTCCATGAGGTCAAACCTGTTTTCATAATACTAAGATGTCGTTTGCCTATTAAAATACTAGTCTTTTTCCAACTACATATCTGTCTGATGCTGGATTTTTTTCATATACCTCAACCAAAACAACATATCACAAGAGATTGAATGAAGAAACATATGAGAATCCAGCTAAGTTCTATTAAATCAGATATTAAAAAAGATTTACAAAAATAGGCAAAATGATTCACTGTTTATACTAATTTTTTTTTGTTTTGGAAATAATAGTTATTTTTTCATAAAATATTTGTTAACATTTAATGGTTTTACTGTTATTCTAAATAAAAAAAAATTTTCAAAATTTATGTTTTAATTTTTAATTCAGTAAAAGGTGAGCATAAAGTGTTACTCAGACCAAAAGGGTTGAAAACTGCCTGACTAGAGGAACCAGGGAGCACCTCTGGAGAATAATAGGCAAGCACATCATTACCTGGACCTACTACAATCCTCTTCCCAACCCCCCAACCACACTTCCCAAGGCTATTTAAACTAAGTGGTACCAAATAATTGGTTTGATGATTTTATGGATGGTTTTCCTCCCTCTTCCCTCACTGGATAGTTTGATGAGCCAGTGTTTGTGTCTATATAAGGCTGTTATATGAAAGCTTTAAATCAATCGAGGCAGCCTAATTAATTCACGAATGTAGGACAGGTCAAGATTGCACTTTAACTTTTAGCTGTGATTTGATCCAGTAGCCCTGTATCAACACACCATAAATCTATGAGCAGAGGAGGGGAAGGGGAAAGTAACACACTCTCAGAGCTATATTGGGGACTGGAGGAAATGCTTTCCTTCAGAGGGTTTGAAAGGTCATGCTGTACTCTGTTTAGCTGTAAGCCTAGGCTATGTACAAGTCTACAGGGATCCCTTTGCCTTATTGGCAGAAGCAGCATTGGCATTCAGTGGTTCCTTACTATTTCCCAAATTAACTTATATTCTAATATTACTAACTGCTGATTGCTTGATATTTAATTTTTTGAAAAATGCTTAGGGATAAAGACCATCAAAGCATGCATTTTAAGATCCTGCTTGCCTAAGCTGAGGACTGCTAACCTACCATTTTTGGAGGTATAAACACATACATAAAAATAAGTAATCAAATATTGTTCAAAGGAAGCAAGTTAAAATTAATTACTTTTTGTGAGGACTTGCACGTCCATATATATCCACAAGTGAGAATACTAAAGCTGTCACCTGATGGCAACGTTCTAGGCTTGACAGAGTGAGTAATGGCTAATAGAAAAAAATTACTATTTGTGTCAAGGTTGTGGTATACTATTTATCATAACCCCTTTTCTATTGAATGTCATCAATAAATACAGCAGAGCTTCCCAAAATAAATCTCACAGCTTGATGCCATTTGCTTTTTGATGCATGACACTTTTCTATTTTCCTAGCCTATATAGCATATAATTTCTTTAGGGAGACAGAATTCATTTATTATCCCCAGATTAGAAAGATATATTTTCTAATACCAACTGTAATTTTACTAAGTAATGTTCTTCCAATTAAATCATACCTTCACGCATCTTCTCCACATGCCCTTGCTATCAGAAAATTCATGGATCTCATTTCATATCTACAGTCTCTCGAGCAACAGTACATAATTCTAGCAATTAAACAAATAAATTTGATCTTAAAATATATATTGGAGTAGTATTTCAAGGTTTTTTTAAAGATTTCTATTCAGTATTATAAAATAAGTACATTTTCTTCTCTACCCGATGCCATTAGATGTTATGACTGCTGTTCATCTAAAGAAATTTTACTGTAGTGGGTGCCTAATGGCTGAAAGAGGAAAAATGGTAAGAGTGGTATCCAAAGACAAACATTAACAAAAGAGGATCACTTGGATCTTGGGATTTATAAGATATTCACAATAAACCATCACTTACCTCTTCTATCTTCTTCTGCATAACTTTCCATTGGCTTTCCCATTCCTTCCTTTCATTGTCAAATTGGTCCAGTAATTCCATCCTTTCCTTAATCCAGTTTGACTCTGTAGTCTCCCATTGCTTATGGAGGTCCATGGCAACCAAGTAAGAGCCAATGAAGAGGTGTTTTTTTGAAATTTTTTTGTTCTCCTTTGTTTCTCCTTACTGATTCTTGGAGTCTGGGAATTACTTTATTTGAACCAATCTCTCTTGCCTTTGTGTGTAGCTTTTAAAATAGATCACAGTATAAATATAACAAGACACAGTTCCAAGGCCTCTTGCTTTCTGGAAATGAATTTTATCATAATGTCAACAACCAATGAACAGTAAACAAACTATAAGAAAATTGGATGGGAAAGAAGAAAAGAAGATGATAGCAATCTGCTGAAGAAAGGGACACTAATAGTCTGAAAACAGACCCAAAGCTTTGTTATCTGAGACAGACAGAAAAACTATATTAAGGAAAATAGCCCAAATGCTTGAGTGTGATGCATTTGTATGTTGCTGTTTTGAAAATGTGACAACTTAACTCCTAGAGAGAGATTCTTTCATGAATACTAATGATTAAGTTCAGCAGAGTCAAAATGCCTAAAGGAAACTAAAGTTGAGCTCTTGGCCATATGACTATAGCAGGATATAATGTAATTAAATCAGTTTTCCTAATTTGCTGTAGCCTCCCCACACAACTCTATGACTCATTTGCAGTCAAACTACATCATTGCTGCCAATATTCAGAGGCTTAGGCTGTGTCAGTATGAAGTTAAAAGGATCTTTAGGTAAAAACCAAAAATTCTAAGTCAACCAGGTTAAAATTTTAAAATAATGACAATTTAAAAAATTAGTAATAATTTTACTTAAATTATACCTGAAATATTAAAATAACCTAAAGATCCACAGTATAAAATCTATACATACATACTTTCTCTTCCATATTCTGTATGATATGGCCTGTCTAGATAGTTACAATTCAAGAGGTTTAAGGGAACATTTTACTCAAGTCTAGGAAAAACAAGTGTTGGGCTAAGCAGTGATTAATAAAGGTTAAAGAACACTGCATAAGGCTCCTAATTGTTCTTAAATAATGAACAATAGTAATTAATGTTTATGTTTAACTATATTAATTTTTTTTGTTTTAAAGAATAAAGACATGTTAAGTTCTCTGCCTCTACTTCTCTCTCTCAATTAGCAATTTCCCTATTCAAAAAATTGGATTAAATGCCCATCTTGACAACACACTTTGCTAGATGTTGGGGAAAATGTAAAACTAAATGAGTCATGGGCCTTTTGTGGGTTCTTTTTTTTTTGTATCTGGATAGAACTGGCTCCTATATCACTGCACAAAATGGGCTAATTTGGCAGGAGTTGCTGCTTTGGGACACTTGCTTGTCAATAACTTTTATTTGAGACATGGGTCAAGTCTGTAACATTGGATATAGCTCCTTCCTGTAAAAGACTTGAGTGAGTACTTTTGACATTCAACCATGTTCTAAATGTCCTCTGATATCTTAACTCAATGGCACCAAGAGCCAAAATTTAGCCTTTGGTGACCTTGCTTAAAGTAGTTGTGAAAATAAGTATAAGAATTCAGTCAGCCTAGGAAAACCCAATGTCATTACATCAGTAGATACAAGAAATCCCTTCAGCAATTTACATAGATTTGAATACACATAGTCTTAGAGGCTTACCTGAGTCTCATACAGATTAAATGCCTTGCCCATGGTCACAAAGCTAGCAAGTGTCGGGGTGGAATTTAAAACCAAGTCTTAATTCCCAGTCTAGCAGTCTGTTTATGTTGAGAGCACCACCATATCTCAGTCATGCAGGCTCATAAACTCAGAGTCATTCTCTATTCTTCCTCTCTCTGATTTCTCGGAACTAATCACTTGCTACATCTTGTGTTCTCTGTCTCCACATAATTTGCTTCCATTCCTTTCTCTTTATTCACATAACAACTACTTTAGTTCAGGCCCTCATCTCTACCTATTAGAATAAGCCTAATTGGTCTCCATGTTTCTAGTACCTCTCCCCTCCAATTCATTCTCCATATATCTGACCATATTATCTTTTAGGGCACAGGTCTAACCATGTCACTTCCCTGATTAAAAATTTTCGGTGGTTCTATATTTCTTTTAAGTTAAAATAGAAACTACTTAGTGTGGCATTTAAAGCTCTCCACGGTTTCTGCAGACTTATTTTATATGACTTCTCTTCAGTAATTACTATATATACATTAAAATAGACTGTTCCTTGAACTCAGTATTCCATCTCCTACTCTATACAGATTGGCCTCCCATGTCTGAAACACATTCCATCCATATGCCCACTGTTTCTAATTCTTAGCAGCCTTTAAGGCTCAGGTCTAACCTTTTATGATGCCCCAAGTTAGTTCTATCTACCTTCATAAATTACTGTGTATGTGCTTATCTGCATGTAATTTCCTAAGAACCATGGCTGTCTATAAATATCAGCCTAGCTGCTAGTTCTCTAAATGTGGGCTACTTATCACATGATCAGTGAGTAGATATACTACTAGAGGAATGAAATCATCTCAACTTCACATTCTTACAATTTAAGCTAAATAAAAGAGGTGCTGGATTTGGGATAATGAGCATCCAAAGGCAACCACAAAAATCATTTCATGGGCAACTTAGCCATCTGGTATTGCCATGATCATGATGACTATCTGCAGAAGTGAACACCACGAAAATAACTGTAGCTTATGCACCAACAGATGTCACAGAGGATGAAAAGATAGAGAAATTTCTCAAAGAATTTCACAAGAACTTAATAAAACCCTCCAAATTTCCATTTTTCTCCAATATTCTGAATCATTGTTGATTGATTATAAATAAGAATTTTATTTAATAGAACAAAATGTCACTTCAAGGCACTCCTTCAACAAAGTGTCTCTCCCATATATATCAAAATTACATGAGGTACCCAATGATGATTAATATCAGTGAGGCGTATACTAAATAAAGGTATTTTCAATATTGTCAAACAGGATATGCAATACAAAGTATAAATTGAAGAGGGATTCCTTATTGATGGTGAGATTCTCCAATTGGTGCTATTTTCCAATGATATTATGCTGATTACATGAAGTCACAGAAAGATAAAGTTTTTAATATGCTATCCGTAATCACTTAAAAGAGTTTAGCATAACTATACACCCAGTAAAAACCATGTAGATAAAGAATCCCTGATGTTCATACTAAGGTATGCAGCTGGAAGGACAACCTAGAGAGTTTATCTATCGATCTACCTATCCATCTATCATCTATCTACATAAATCTACACTCACATACATGTGTATAATTATCTATCTTTCTGTCTTTGGTGGACACTACAAATAACTTCTCCCTGAAATAAAGACCCATCTTTTTAATGCCAAAATTCTTCTGATAATGCTGCAGAGCTATGACTCATAGAACACTATATACTTCTGAAGAACTAAAATTGACAATCACTCAAAAGGCAATGAGGAGGGGCACAGCCAAGACCATGAAGTAAAGGCAAAGATATACCTGAGCTCTCCCAAATTCTCCTCCAAACAAATTTAAAATAATGCCTCAAAATGAATTCCATTATGGCAAAACCAAGGAGAGGAAGAGATGAAACAATTTTCCAGCCCAACACAACTTAGAAGGTCAGCAGGAAAGGTCTGTCTCATTGGGGTGAGAGTGGAGCACAGTCCAGTGCAGGCCATCCCCATATTATCCATACCCCAGCAAGCCAGTAGCAGTTCTTGGGAGCAACTGAATAAGCAAGGGTGACTGAATCAGCAGTGAGGGCTTCTGGAGATCTCAACCCACAGATGGCAAGGGAATCAGACAAGTAAACAGAAGAAGATTACTAGCATTGGGTGCATGACTCTGTTGCATTGCCCATACATGGTTCCAGGTCACAGTCCCAGGGTGAGGATGAGCACTAGCACACTAGAGTGTGTGGCCACTGGGGTACAGGGAACCTGGTCACAGTTCTAGGGGAGAACTGTTGGTTCTGTGGTTGCTCATAGAATGGAGCACAGGCCAGAGTAGCAGTGATCACACCTCTTTTTAGATCATGCCACCGTGTAGGAACTGAAAACTTACAGACTCCCAGAACTAGCTCTGAAAAAAGCAGAGCAAAAAACATGATGCTTGGACTGTTCCTCCTCCACCCCAGGAACAGAGTCCAACTTTAACATAAAGTTAAAAGTTAACAAATAGGCTGGAAAAAAATGAGCAAACAACAAGAGAACCTGACCATAAAAAGTTACTATGGTGACAGGGAAGATCAAAACACAAACTCATAAGAGTATAACAAAGTCAAAACTTCTATATCCAAAGCCTCAAAGAAAAATGTGAATTGGTCTCATGCTGCAAAAGAATTCCTGTAAGAGCTCAAAAAAAGGATTTAAAAAAAAATAAGAAAAGTAGAGGAAAAATTGGGAAAAGAAATGAGAGTGATGCAAGAAAAACATGAAAAACGAATCAACAGTTTGGTAAAGGAGGCACAAAAAACACTGAAGAAAATAACACCTTAAAGAAACAGAATAGACCAAATGGTAAAAGAGGCACAAAAATACACTGAAGAGAAAAGTGTGGCTAAAAAGCAGAACTGGTCAAATGGAAAAAGATGTACAAAAATTCACTGAAGGAAAGAACTACTTAAAATGTAGAATTGACCAAATGGGAAAGGAGGGTACAAAAGTTCATTGAAGAAAATAATTCCTTAAAAATTAGAATTGGGCAAGTAGAAGATAATGACTACATGAGGCATCAAAAAACAATAAAATAAAACCCAAAGAATGAAAAATAGAAGACAATGTAAACTATCGCATTGAGAAAAAAAAAACTGACCTGGAAAATAGATTGATGAAAGATAATTTAAGAATTACTGGATTACCTGAAAGCCATGACAAAAAAAAAGAGCATAGACATCATCTTTCAAGAAATTATAAAAAAAAATAAAAACAACTGCCTTGATATTCCAGAACCATAAGGTAAAATAGAAAGGGAAAAAATGCGCCAATCACCTCCTTGAAAGAGATCCCAAAATGAAAACTCCCAGGAATATTATAGCTAAATTCCAGAGTTCCCAGGTCAAGAAGAAAATATTGCAAGCACCCAGAAAGAAAAAATCCACAAGTTGTAGAGCCACATTCAAGATAACACAAGATTTAGCAGCTTCCACTTTAAAAGATCAGAGGTCTTGGAATATGATATTCTGGAGGGCAAAGGAACTAGGATTACAATGAAGAATAACTTACCTATCAGAAGCATAATATAATCCTTCAAGGG